TGAAATTTGGTGAGCTGAGAAAATGTGGACGTAGATTAGGATGAATTTTGGTGTTAGCACCTACACAACAAGGTCCAACGTTTTGGCGCAAAGAGTTTCATTCCATTCGCAGAGGTTTTGCAACTAAGGGCATTATGTGGACAATGGACCCCGCTGGATGGCGTTGCTGCCCGTGTAGTGCAAAGCAGTTGCCATTTTGGCAATTTCCACTTGGCATTTTGCTATTTAAGCAAATTTTGGTGGTGTAACATCCTTAATGTGGTTCGGCTCATGAGGATCATGTTTTCTGTCCACAGAGACTGTGAACTCCTACTCTAAGAGAATCACCTTCGTGCGGTGTTTCCGTAGAGTGTATACTACACCGGTATTACGATGAGAGTAACAGCCACGTTGTGGGCATTTTCTGGGAAGTATGCGGAAAAGTTCGTTCAATATGGTGCTTACTGCCCTACTCCTCTTTCACTGAAAAAACTAATTTCTTTCGGACGGGTCGGGTCTGCCGCGAAATCCGCTGCTTTTCTGCGTGATGAACTGGCCGTTCGAATAGCGAACATAATGCAAGAAATCCACCTTTTACCAGAAGCACTTATCAGAACCCCTTCGGCTTCAATCGTGGAGCGTTGGTAAGTACACCCTTTAGTTTTATTTTCAATCCAGGTACGAACAAAGCTTCTGTCATCTGGTTGATTACGAAGGAATGGAGTGGAACGAGAAATCACTCGAAAAATTCAACCATACACTCGCAGAGATACGTCATCGACATACCGCAACTGTTGAAACTATGGCTCAAGGAGTAATGGAGATGGAGGCACAAAATAAAGCAGATCCCATAACCAATAATCACATCCAATATTTCTTGGACCGTTTCTTTATGATGCGAATAAGCCTAAGGATGCTACTCAATCAACATCGTAAGTGGCTCAAAACGCGTTTGTTTTCTTCTGTAGAGCAATATATCACGAGGCGACTACAATTAAAATCAAAAGGCAATCTCCGGAAGTAAGAAGAAGTTACTGGGCATCGCTTGGCTTCCCCAAAAACGCTCGTAAAATAGCGCACGTGTGTTTCGGCCAGGGTTGAGTAGCCAAAATGACTTTCCTTTCAAAACAGTGATTGGAACGCAGGTACTTGAGGACGCATATCGTAGTGACCTGCCAGTCCAATTCCTCGCATATTACTCAGATATTCCTGATGTGACTGTCAGGCAGCACGACGGCTCCAGAGCATGCACTTGAAACCACCTTTTATCCGTCATCCGGAGCATGGTGCCTTTCGAGCATCTACTGGGCTGACTCAACATACGCAAAGGTCCAGGTTTAGATCTTTCCCGTAATCTAATACTAAAGTTGCACCAGTTGTTACGAATAGAATATCGATTCTGAT